AATGATAAAAGATAGACCCGGGGTGCATAGGTTTCACTAGAGGCTTCTCTCAAGATAGCATAAGTATTATGGTGGGTGAACAAATTACTGTCGAGCAATTGATAGAAAAGCGAATAATTATGAGGTTATCTAGGCATGATCATGTATATAGGCATCACGTCCGTAACAAGTAGACCGACTCCTGCCTGCATCTACTACTATTACTCCACACATCGAACGCTATCCAGCATGCATCTAGATTATTAAGTTCATAAGAACAGAGTAACACATTAAGAAAGATGACATGATGTAGAGGGATAAACTCAAGCAATATGATATAAACCCCATCTTTTATCCTCGATGGCAACAATACAATACGTGCCTTGCAACCCTTTTTGTCACTGGGTAAGGACACCGCAAGATTGAACCCAAAGCTAAGCACTTCTCCCATGGCAAGAAAGATCAATCTAGTAGGCCAAACTAAATCGATAATTCGAAGAGACTTGCAAAGATAACTCAATCATACATAAAAGAATTCAGAGAAGATTCAAATATTATTCATGGATAAACTTGATCATAAACCCACAATTCATCGGATCTCGACAAACACACCGCAAAAAGAGATTACATCGAATAGATCTCCACAAGAGAGGGGGAGAACATTGTATTGAGATCCAAAAAGAGAGAAGAAGCCATCTAGCTAATAACTATGGACCCGAAGGCCTGTGGTAAACTACTCACAACTCATCGGAAGGGCTATGGTGTTGATGTAGAAGCCCTCCATGGTGGAATCCCCCTCCGGCAGAACACCGGCGACGGCTCCAAGATGGGATCTCGTTGATACATAAGGTTACGGTGGTGGAAATATTTCTTCGGTGGCTCCATGGATGTTTTTGGGGTATGTAGGCTTATATAGGAGGAAGAAGTACGTCGGTGGCCGCCCGAGGGGCCCACGAGACAGGGGGGCGCGCCCTCCTATCTCGTGGCTGCCTCGGCTGCTTCTTGGCTTTCACTCCAAGTCCTCTGGATCACGTTCATTCCAAAAATCACGCTCCCGAAGGTTTCATTCCGTTTGGACTCTGTTTGATATTCCTTTTCTTCGAAATACTGAAATAGGCAAAAAAAATAGCAATACGGGCTGGGCCTCCGGTTAGTAGGTTAGTCCCAAAAATGATATATATGTGTAAAATAAAGCCCATAGACATCCAAAACAGGTAATATAATAGCATGGAACAATAAAAAATTATAGATACGTTGGAGACGTATCAGGGACCCAGTTGCATGAAGTGCTTGTCTTAGGTGCCATGATGATGAAAGCCTAGGAAAGGATAAAAATTTCCGGTTCAAATATAAGCCGAAGGAAGTGTCAATATTTAAGATGGCGGCTTATCTCGGGGCCTAATGGTATGAGGATAATTATGATGAATTATTTAAGTTGCCATAAGCATCATTGACAGTTTAGTTATTTAAGCCGCCATGGGCGGTCAAGATTATCAGCTAAAACATTATCTTCTAAACCAGTGATAAGAATCGCCATGGCTAGGGGGATCTAACAGTTACAGATTTTTGCCTAAGTGCGGCATAAACAAGTTCCACAAAGTGTAGTTGCTATTTTGGATCAAATAGTTGTTCAGAAAAGAAAAATATTCTAGACCTAAAAACAAAGCACAGATGAGTTCATCAGTTCTAAGAAGGCCTCTTGGCAATATAAAGGGATCTACTGGTATTAAAAATGAGTGCGGAACAGCTATCGCATAAGTTCTGTACTATTTTTAGATCAGAGGAGGCTGCAGCATTAGAACTATGAAGAGCTGAGCTCAAATGGCGAAGAACACGGAAAAAACCTACAAACCCTAATGCAGATCTGGAGCAATGGAAGAGGAAGGCTTACGGTTGCAGGGTTGCTGCGGAGGTTCGCCGTCGTTTCTCTGGACAGACTCAGGTCGATGCAGCGGCCGAGGTCGACGGAGACGAGGGGCGCGGCGGCGGCGGCGGAGCTCGAGCAACAGTAGGAGCGCGAGGAAGAAGACGCGGAAAGGAGAAGAATTAGAAAGGACCCGGTCGGGTCTATTTATAAGGAAAACTGAGGACTGGGCGCGAAAAATGAGGAGACCAAAGGCATAAGTTATCCAACTACAAGGACGCCTCAACTTTCGTGATGGTCTTTAAGATAAGAATCCGTTGAGGTACATTGGATAAAGTGTAAATTGATGATTGATGACATCATGATGGGTTATCCAAAATCTAGAGGATGACATCATGGCGGGTTAAAGCTATCACACAAGCAGGGAGCACAAGATTTTTTAAAGTGTTGAAGATTGCCATGAACCAGTTCAAATCAATCTGGGGCCTAATATTGGGAATATAACTATTAGGCATGACCCGCCCAGGAGAGGCCGGGTCACGCCCACGATGAAGCCCACGAAGACACTTGAAGATGACGGCTCACTTAAAAGGCTTAAGGCCTGTAGAGATAAACCGCCATGTATGCATAAACTTGTATTGTAAGTAAGGAATAGAGAGAGACCGAGCCGGACTTGTTTATGAACCGGCCGGGACTCTGTGAGCCGCTGGTCGTCGACCTCTGTATATAAAGGGACGACCCGACGGCGGTTCAGGGCAAGTAACGTCAGATCGAGAACTAGGTCAAGCGGATTCACTCCCTGGTTATCGATTCATAAGCAATCCCACCCAAAACTGGATCGTAGGCTTTTACCTTCACCGTAAAGGGCCGAACTAGTATAAACCTCATGTCCTTTGTCCCGTTTAACCCTTTTAAGCTTCCTAGTTGCGATGGCTCCACGACTAAGTCCTTACGCTAGGACATCTGACGTGACAATTCCACGACACTTTTGGAGCATCTTTTTTTGCCATGACTTCATGAATGTCATTCCATTATAAAATTTTGCAAACTTTTGTCAATGTTTGCCACAAAAAATCTGGTTTATTTTTTTTATTTTTTTGCTATTTGTTTTCAATTTACGGTCCATCCAGGTCCATTTCTACTCGTGTGTAAATACTCCATGGCGTGCATGGGCCTCATCAGTGGCAGAGCTTCATGGGGGCCAACCTGGGCCATGGACCCCAGCTCACAAGAAAACAAGCCTCATCTCTTAGTATTAGGCCTATTTTCCACAAGCCTCATCTCTTAGTATTATGGCCAAGTGGAAAACCTCGTCGGTGTTTAGAGCTGGTTTTGAAATGAGCTAATCACTTCTTTTTTTGGAAAATGAGTGAACAATAGTTTCACACTTTGATGTTAGGTTTATGTCATCTCTTTCGGTTTTCATATTTCCTAAAAGAATGAAAGAGTGAATTTGATTCTTCCAAAAGAGATACATAAACGATCTATTCTTTTGAAATGAGTGAAATCCACTTTTTTTAAATGACTAGAACAATGCCCGTGCGGTGCAACCGGATATAAACATTCTAGTACGTTAGCTTGTGATTTACCTGTCAATAATAATGTGATTTGTGTAAATAAATGCTGATCAAATTCTGCCCGTGAATTACCCTATATTTTGATTAGAAGTCTGGTAAGTAATTAAAGTGAAATTGATTCAGAAGGTAAGTAAATTAAAGTGATTGATTATCATATACATGGAAAGTTGGACGAAGGGCTGATGGGAAGAAGGGTGAAATGAGAATGTTACATTATTTTTAAGTAGTATAAGATATAAGATATAAGAGATAAGAGATAGAGATATTCCTCTTTGAAATGAGTGAAATCAAAAAGTGAAAATAGTTTTTTGAAATGAGTGAAACTTTTTTATATGAGCAAAGTAATAAAGATGACTCTTTTGAAACAGTCAAAAACACTGTTATGAAATAGTGGGAAAATGTAAATATCATTTTTTTGAAAGAGTGGAACAATGTAATATTTAGGAAATTAGCAAAATCTGTATTTTCAAATGAGTGAATCGGTTACTTCAAATGAGTGTTTTTTTTTTTGTTTAGTGGAATCAACTTTTAAAAATGAGTGAAATTATTTAGTGAAATCTTTTTCCAACAACTGAAACTGTAAAATGATAGAAACAATAAGTTCAAACTAGTCAAAATGCATCTAGCATCGGTCTTGCTTTGAAGATTTTGTCCCCCTGAATTCAAGTATGTAAACAAAGCTTGGCGAACGAAATATTGGTTCGGAAGTTCCGAGCAATTCAAAATGTCACAGCGAGAATAAAATGCAAGTCTTTTGTTTAGAGAGTCTTTGTGTGCATGTCAGTGCGTTTTGTATGTGTACCTCCACTCCTCCAGGCTCCGGCTCTAGAGCTATCTATATATGCTCAGCTGTTAATTCCGCCATGTCAAAGCTCGAGATCACGATGCTTGCAAACGATCTTGACGTGCTGCTCACGACGCTGAACCGCCCGAAAAACTCGCAAAAAGAATTATCCGGACAAAATTTCAAAGACTTTCGTTTTCGGCAACTGTGCCCTCCGGCCCATAAAAATGACGGGACCGAACCGAGCCGGCGTCCATCCAGAAGGTTCCAGCCTGCACGAGCCGCGACCCCGTCCCCGCCGACGGATGCCAGGGCCCCGCCACGCGTCGCCCACACACCATCGGCTCCCCATCCCTCCTCGCGATCTCCACCCGTCCGTCCCATTCATTATCATCACCCCGGCCCCCACCTGCGTGGGCCCCACGGCAGGAATGACTCCTCCACCATCCCTGTCGCGGCCGTTGCTGCCGAGAAGTACTCGCCCCGTGCACCCACCCCGTCTCCCCACACTCACTGCTCGGTAGGCCCCACGCCCCCGACTCCCGGGGCCGGACCCACGCGAGCAGGAGGCGGCCCCGCGCGGGCGTTTTCCCGGAGCCGTCCGTGCCGAGATGGACGGCTGGGGGGCGCGTCACGCGGGGCACAAAACACGCGGCCCCGAAGCACGGGAAAGGAAAGGAGAGAGGGATTGAGATTCCAGCGGCGACGGCAGGCAGGCAGGCAGAAAAGGCGTTGCCAAACAGAAGCGTCGCGTTGGGGAGAGAGGGGGAGCGGCGGGCGAGCGAGCGAAGCATCCATGGCGGAGCACAAGGAGGAGTCGGTGATGGACAAGATCACGGAGAAGTTCCACGGCGGGTCCTCGTCCTCCTCGTCGTCCGACGACGACGAGAGGAAGTCGGGGTCGTCGTCGTCCGTCAAGGCCAAGATCTACCGCCTCTTCGGCCGCGAGAAGCCCGTCCACTCCGTCCTCGGCGGCGGCAAGCGTGAGTCCCCCCCTCCCCCCGCTCGCGCGCTTCGCTTCCGCCGCGTGGTTTCGTAGATCCGGCCGCACCGGGGTCTCGCGCTCCCGCGGGGCTTGCCCGGGCGCTCAAGAGGAAACCTGCGGTTGCTCTGGTCTCTCTGGAAAATTTCGTGTCCGTCGAGATAGGTCTCGCTGATTGCTAGTGTGCGTAGGAAGCGTCCCGATCTGCGATTTTCCGAGCCCAGGTTCCGCGGCATTGCCCGTCCGCAGGGTGTGAATAGGGTAGCATACATCAGATTAGTACTATTTGTGATTGAAGTGATTGTGCGATTCTGCTGCTCTGCTCTGCTGCATCCTAGTACTAGCTTAAACCCTGAGATGCTCTGTTTGTTTTCTAGGAGTTGATAGATTGCTTGTTGGTCTGGGCTTCTGATGTGCTGTGCTTATGTGTTATTTTTGCAGCTGCCGACCTCTTCCTGTGGAGGAACAAGAAGATCTCCGGTGGGGTGCTCGCGGGCGCCACCGCCATCTGGCTGCTGTTTGAGGTCCTGGAGTACCATCTCCTCACCCTCCTCTGCCACGGCTTCATCCTCACCCTGGGCATCCTCTTCCTCTGGTCCAACGCCTCTGCCTTCGTCAACAAGTGAGCTTCACTAAATTTCCCTTGTTATTTGCACCCAGATCAGTTATAGGATGACAATGCCTGGTTAACCTGGATCAATGCTGTGTAATCACAATGATCCTAACAGTTTTAGCAATTGCTCTAGTTTTTGGTTGTAAACAACTGCTTGCAATTGTTTTCAGGTGCCCTCCCAACATTCCAGAGGTGAAGATCCCCGAGGACCTGGCTGTCAATGTTGCCCGCTCGCTGCGATACGAGATCAACAGGGGCTTTGCTAGCCTGAGGGCGATTGGTCAAGGCCGTGACCTGAAGAAATTCCTGATTGTACGTTGATTGGTTGTGTGATTTAGTTTCCTTTAGCCTTCACTGCTTAAACCCTGTTTATGTTATCAGTCGCTTATATTGTGTCGTCTCTTTGTTCTCAGGTGGTTGCAGGCCTGTGGATCCTCTCTTTCCTTGGCAGCTGCTGCAATTTCCTGACCTTGTTCTACATAGGTAAATGTGGTTTCTTGCTACAGTCTGTTTGTTACTTACATATGTGCAATAAGCTTGCCTAGCATTGTTTCACTGATCATGCCTTCTTGTTTGCAGTCTTCATGGTGCTTTACACCGTGCCTGTTCTGTACGAGAAGTATGAGGACAAGATCGATGCTTTTGGAGAGAAGGCCATGGTCGAGCTGAAGAAGTACTACGCCATCTTCGATGAGAAGTGCCTGTCCAAGATTCCCAAGGGTCCGTCCAAGGATAAGAAGCAGCATTAGAACGGTAGAGAGTACCCTGCGCAGATTTACTTTCAAAGTTGATCACTACTCGTCGGTTTTCAAGGATGGTTGTGATTCCATGTCCGTAGCTGATAGTAGATACCACTATCTGGTCAAAACCCTGGCACGGTCAGTAGTCATGACGTGCAACTTCTACGAACTTAAAAGTCATGCCAGCTTTTGCTCAATATCCTGTTTCCAATTCTATGTTCAACGTAGCATCCTCACTTGCAAGTCGTGTTGGTGTAATATGGCAGTGATGTTTGCGACTTTAGTAGACTTGCTATAATGAATGAAGTGGCTCTTTTGGTGTTATGTCATTCCTTGGGTTCATATACACAATGAAGTGGCTCTTTTGGGTGTTCTGTAATTCGTGGGGTTTATATCGTTTGTTGGTGTCGATATGCCTATGCATCCTGGAGGCTTCAGTTGATTCGGATGAATGTATTGTCTATCATGTTTGTGTGCTGAAGCGTCTAGTTAGATTTGTCGGATCACTTGTGGCTTGTGTATGTATAAACCACCTTGAATTTCAACGCTCTCTCTTGGGTATTGAGCCTTTGATTGAGAAGTAAATACAGCATTAACATCTTGGAAATTACTCCCTCCGTCCCAAAATTCTTTTCTTAGATTTGCCTAAATACGGATGTATCAAGTCATGTTTTAGTTTAGATATGCCCTCCGTTCTTTAAAGAGTGTACTTTCAATTTTGTTGGAGGGTTACGAGGCTGTTTTCCTCTTGTACGTGGCGGCTGCAACCCTAGCTGCCGCCAGAGGCCGATTTTCAACGCCGTTCTCCGGCGGCTCCCCTCCGCCGTCGACCTCGGTCGTCGGTGGTGAGGGGGGTCGCCGGATCCACGCGTGTGGATCGTTTTTACTCTTTCATAGTCTAGGTTTTTAGGTTGTTCATCGTCTTTGCTTCGCCGGCGACGATGACGACGCTGAATAAATATTCTTCAGATCCTTTCCTGACGAGGCCATCGGTCCTATGGTTGGGGATGGATTTAGAAATCAATCTGTTCAAGCAAGGATGGCGTGGCGGCGGCGGCATCCTCGTGGTGGACCTGTGTCCTCGGGCTCCGTCGTTGCGACGACGTTTGCTCCAGCGTCGGCGTGGAGCTTGGGAGGTAGTCCAGGAGCGGATGCAGATTGTGGTCTGCATCGACGACATCTGGAAGACAGAACGTGTGCTGGGTTCGTGGTTCGTGGATGACAGGTATGGTTTCCTCCTTCGGCATCTTAGTCGTGGTGGGGTGCCAGATCTGGAGTTAGATGGCGTGTTCGGAGTGTTGCCCCGGTCTGATTCGTTCAACGGCAATGGCTTCACTTTTGGTGAGCCACCTTGGAGGTCCGCAAAGCTGCATATCAGCGATGGAGTCGCGTCGAGCTCGGGTGAGGAGGTGATCCGTCATTCTTTTCTTCGGTGGCTGCTGTGGTGGTGCCGGAGGCAGGTGACGGGCGTTAGTGTCAAGCTCAGAGATGTTCTGCTATCTTTTCAGTTTTGTCATGTCGGTTCTTACGTGACTTGTACTTTGTTCTTTATGATATGAATGAGACACGTATTACCAGGCAAAAAAAAACTTTGTTGGAGGGTCAAGCTATCTCAATGTTTGACCGAGTTTGTGCAAAAATATACCAATGTTTATGAAATCAAATAGGTATATGATGAGAATATATTTTATCATGAATCTAATGCTACTAATTTAATGGCATAAATGTTGGTGCATTATTGTATAAATACGATCAAACATAAAAGTATTTGATTTTCCAACAAAGTTGGAAGTATACTCTTCAAAGGACGGAGGGAGTACATCTGTATCTAGACAAATCTAAGACAAGAATTTTGAGACTGAGGGAGTACAAGAAATCAAAATGGTACTTGCTAAAACATGAGAAATATATAAAATCATTTGGACACATGAGCACTTGTTCGTATCAACAGCTATTGCTTTTAGTGCTCTGTTGACAGCGGTGTAGGAGGAGAACGCTTAATTTTAGATGTTCTCATTGAACATTTGATGGTGAATTGCAGCAGGGCGAATGCTGGTGTCCATAATTGTCAGAATTGAAACGGTACCATAAAACTAATTTACACAGCTATACAATCAAATTCACTGAAACATGAGAATTCCAAAGTTGTCTGGGCACATTGTTTTCAGAATCACTACTTGCATCGTCACTGCCAGATGACGAAGACGGTCGATCACGAGCATTTAATATATACTCCCTCGGTAGGGAAATATAAGACCGTTAAAGGGTGTAACAAACAACTTGGTACATGAAAGAGTGAAATCAGCCCAACAAATTAATGTACAGCTGAATATCCAGTGAATGTGCAGAGCAAAAGTAACAAAAATAACAATGACTTGTGGACTACACAGCCAAAAGTCTGATCAATCGCGAAAGGGATATTATGATTACAAATTTTAGCGTCAAATTGCTCAGCCAGAGAATTAAGAATTGAACGGCGTTGCCGACAAATTGCTCTATTTGTTGCGGTACTCCAGCTTATGCACTCTGTATTAATGATAATTCAGCATGTCTTGGGGGTAACATTGTAAGTTGCCAAGTGTAAGTTCCATCGAGAATATTAACACACGGGAGCATTACCTGCATGCTTGCTGTGGAAAACCTCTTTCCAGTTCAAACTGGGATCATCAAAAACTGAATATAGATGCATGCTGTTGGAGCTCAAATGGGAGGTGGTAAAGAAGAGGGAGTAGTTCATTTTCCATAACTTGTTGTCGTTTGCAGATGAATTCCATGGCCTTATTCCTCCTTGATTTATCTCCTTGACAACTCCTAAGTAGTCCCAGGTTACACATATCTTCCTAGAATTCAGGCCTTCAGCCAAAGTCACTGCTTCTTTGCATGCACAAATCTTCCTAGAACCAAGCTCAGCAAGCTACTGTCAGGACAAAGCAAGATGCCAGGAAGTTGGCAGCTCACAACAAAGCAAGATGCCACATCAACCTAAGTGTAAAATTGCATTATATCAGTATAGTAAACCACAAAAATTCAGAAGCGAGTGCAATGTGAGAATTGTACCTTTGGAGAGCAATGGACATCCCTTATGTTTGAAAAGCAGCCATGACATACTATTTTCAATGGCACATAAGTTTTTACTTCTTCACTTGACTTGATCTAGTATTGTACCCTCAATCATATATCAAGCAAATGTAATTAATCCTTCCTTGCTCCAACTGGACGCTGTATGTCAAACAATACTCTTGGTTAAAAAACCAGGTGTGCGAAAATTATATGAACATGCAAAAGGTAACCATTTTTAAAGTAATACCATATAAAATAGAAGAACATGAAAATAAATACAACATATGCAAGAACATTGTCATGGTCTGAATTAAACCATCGTACAGAATGGCGCTCCTAAACTATTATCATTCTGACACATATCCTACGGAGAAATGAATTGATCATACAGAAGAATACCAAATGAAAAACTACACAAAAATGAAAACCAGATAAGTACTGAAGATATCTTATATGGACCTTGAGGTATTACGTAGGCAAAGATGCAGTTTTCTGAATGGTGCTCCTAAACTATTATCATTCTGACGCATATCCTACGGACAAAATGAAGTGATCGTATAGAAGAATACCAGATGAAAACTACACAAAAATGTAAACCAGATAAGTACTCAAGATATCTTGTATGGACCGTGAGGTATTACTTAGGCAAAGATGCAGTTTTCTGTCGCATCCTCTGTATGAACCGTCCACTGTGAAAGCTCCTGTGAGCTACATCTGAATGGAACTTCTCCAAAGGGTAAGAAAACACAGCTATATCCACAAGTTTAGCAGAGCAAAAAGCAACGCAAGTTGCACAAATATTCAGGAGAATAAGGCTCTGAAGGAAGAGTTACACAAATAAGAGTATAATGTACTGTCTATATTGATAACATGCTGTCCTAATTGGCATAAAAAAGCTGGAGAGATTGAATCAGACTAACGGTGCATATATGCATTGTAGGATCCAAATCCCTAGCTAGCCCTTGTGCGTAACCAACTAATGCGTAGGGGATAAGATAGATGCTTATTCAGTGAAAGTTCATCAAGAAACCACGCCCAACACACAATACTTCAAAGTATAAACCAAGCAACAGGTTTCGAAATAATATGGCCCATGGGGATCGAGGGGGAGGTAACTGGGACTCACCTGCTGTTGTCGTGGAAACTGACCTGGTAACCACGACGACCGACATGGAGGGCCGCCGAGGTGACAACAAGGATGAAGGTAGCTGGACGCCCGCCTCCTGCGCTTCGCCACACCATTTATCTTGCCTAAATTCTAAAAAGCGCAACTGCACTTTTTTCAGGTCCTGAGCTCCGGGCCGTCGGATCTGGATCCCGATCATGAGTGCCGCACTGTCGTTGTGGAGCAAAACATCCACACTCCACACGATTACGGTAGGGACGCTCTACCGACAAGTCTCCCGCACCTCATCCACTCTACTCAAGCCCCAAGCCTTTGTCGGCGTTCTGGTAACCAGGGTACCCAGACTTGTCTGCCTGTGGCCCACAGCGTGGCTCCTTCGACAGACTGGCACGACCCATTGGCAAGATTACCAAGACAAGGCCCTCGCGGGGCCCCCTTGGCCTCGCGAGGCGGACGACACCAAGACCTCCAGAAGGAGCGGCCTCCCCAGGCTGCCTCCTGAGGAGCGGAGTTTTCTATGCAGGTACCCAGCCTCACGAGGCTGCGGTGAGGCAAGTCATGACGACCAAGGCCAGGCAGGCGCCACCGGGCGTAGAGAAGACAATTTCCTCTTTGGTGCTAAGGAGGCAAGGACAGGCGTGGGTTCCCGAGGAATCTGTCAAAGGTTTCCATTCCGGTGCAACGAGACCAAGACCACGGACTCGGCAGGACAGAGGTCATCGTCGAGTCCACCGCTGCGTCAT